TGTTTTTTCTGAGTGGACAGTTCTGATTGGTAAGACAACTTCAAACATCGGTAATATGACCATGCCGAGGCACATTCAAAATTGATGATAACTTCTGGGGGGTCAAAACTGAGTCCGATCCAAATCTGAAGTCCGATTTTCGATAGCTCGTGATCAGGCCTCGATATGCTACTAAAGATGATCCGATGTGCATAAGATTAAAATGGCCCTAGTCAAATCGGCTGAACATGTCACATACCAAATTTGAAACCGATATCGCAAATACTTTCCATTTTATAGGCATCTGTACTTTGACACCATCAAAATTTCCTGATGTTCTTTTCTGATTTCTGAGCGGCAATCAGCAATCAGAAAAGCAGTCAGAAATTTTCTGATTGCCAATCAGAAATCAAATATCAGGAAATTTCTGATTGACACTCAGACATCAGAAATCAGGAATTTTCTGATGTCGGTACTCAATCAGGATTTTTTCTGATTGACAATCAGAAATCAGAAAGAATTCCTGATTGACAATCAGAAATCAGAAAATCAATCAGGAAAATCCTGATTTCTGATTGGAAATCAGAAATTCAATCAGAAAATCCTGATGGCATTTACACCGGTGACCGGGTCGCCCGCCCCACAGTGGGCCAGAAGACCGGTGAAGGCGGCCAAAAGTCTAGACGCGTTTGGAGCTCCAGAGTCGCTAAACGGGACTCGAACCGAAACGTGTGACCCCACCAATGGATTGCTCTCCGAACGAGGAATCCATTGGTGTGGGGTCAAACGTTCGGTTCGAGTCCCATTTAGCGACTCTGGAGCTCCAAACGCGTCTTTGGCCGCCTCCGCCGGTCTTCTGGCACACTGCGCGCGGGGGCGCGTAATCGCGCCGATCTGCATTCCGCGACGTGCAGGGCACACTGTGCGCGGTGCGCCGGACAGGTGCGCGGCGGAAGGGCCCTGCGAACGTAAAGTTACGCCACGACAGTTGGCAGGCACTGCCAGGCAGGCAGTGTGAAGTGAAGATGTTACGTCCAGCAGTGCCAAACACAACCGCGGAGTGAAAAAAAAAAAGAAACATACTTTTGTCGGTTTCACTTAGCGTGGGGGATTCCGAGGCCGGGCGCGACGCCCATGAGAAACCGCTCACACACTCGTGTAAGGATACGATGCCGAATTCTTAGCATCCGATCCCACCGCGGCTCGGCAAAGTACACGAGACGAGTTCCATTCCCTGCAGACTTTATTTTGTTTTCTGCTGGGACTTGAACCGAATGTGTGACCCCGCCAATAGATTCCTCGTTCGGAGAGCAATCCATTGGTGGGGTCACACGTTCGGTTCGAGTCCCATTTAGTGACTCTGGAGCTCAAAACGCGTCTAGAGTTTTGGCCGCCTGCGCCGGTCTCCTGGCCCACTGTGGCCTGCTAGGGCGTACTAGGGCCTGGGCTAGGGCCGTGGGTGAAACCTGAGCGCGGCGGCGGCGCGGCGGCGGGCGCTGCAGGTGCGGGGAAGGCCTGGGCAAGGCTAGCCAACGCCGCCAAGCCGCGATCGCAACCAATGCTTCCTGCTGCTTTCACTGAGCAGTGCGCGGCGCGGCAGGGCTACCAACGCCACCAACACGATGACGGTCCCCGCCGGTCCCCGCCGGGATATTGGCTGGGCTGTCGGCTCACCGCAAGAGGTGTTGCCCGGAGGTTGCCGACCCTGCGCCGGGCCGGAGCGGGCTCCATGCCGCACGCGTTGTGGCGCGGTGGGGCGGGGCGGGGCGGGGCGTTCTCGAGGCACGTTTGGGGTGTTCCGTGGCGTTCCGTGGCGTTCCGGGGCGTTCCGTGGCACGCTCCGGCGTGATCGAGGCACCCTGACGCACGCGGTGTTCTGTTCGCGAGCACGTTCGCTTGCGTCTTGCGTCGCAGCCGACCTTCGACTCGTCCGCGTCCGCCCTGCCCTGCCCTGCCCGGCCCTACGCAGCGCCGCCAACCCGACGGCACGCCACTGGAACTGATTCCGTCGCTCTGTCTCTCTCGCACGCATGGGGTGTGACGTACGGGTGCGAGAGAGACAGAGCGACGAAAACGACTCCGCTGGAAGCCGTTGGCGATAATGAGCGTTTGCAGTCTGTTGGTAACACTGTTATCTCTGGCCATAACCTCGGGCGCGTCGCGGTGCGTGGCATTGCAGGCATTACACGCTCGTTTCATTCCGACATGCCAACGCCTCCGCGCGCGGCAGCGCAGCCCCTGGTTCGAGTCCCACCTGATAAAGTTTTTTTTTTCTTTTTCGTTCCGTGGGCATGCCTAAGCGAATCCAAACAGCCAGACGACGCGGGGTTATGTGGCCAGCCTGCGCGCTGCACTTCACTTTCCTCGCGGTCTTCCCCATTCTTCTCTCCAACGGCGCGAGGCGAGGCGAGGCGGCGGTGCGCTGGGAGGACCGGCAGGGCGGACCGGCCGTCTGGGAGACTGGGAGTGGACGCCGGGGGACTTGGCGGAGAAATGGGAAACGCCCGCGGCCTGCCTGCCTGCCCGCCCGCCGGCCAGCCCGCCCGTCGCGTTGCGTGTACAACACAATGTAGGTGGCATGTAAGACAAGTGTTGTGCATACAGAGAGAGAGAGAGAGAGAGAGAGAGAGAGAGAGAGAGAGAGCGAGAGAGAGAGAGAGAGAGAGAGAGACAGACAGACAGACAGACAGACAGACAGACAGACAGACAGACAGACAGAGACAAAGACAGAGTTTTTTTTTTAGTTTATGAAATGCTTTATTGGGGGGATTTGAATTGACAATCATAAGGATGATGTGGGACTAGAGTAAATTTGGTACACAGAGACAGAGAGAGAGAGAGAGAGAGAGAGAGAGAGAGAGAGAGAGAGAGAGAGAGAGAGAGAGAGAGAGAGAGAGAGAAAGAGAGAGAGGGAGAGAGAGAGAGAATCTTGCAGGGAAGGCCGACACCTGCCGGCAGTGAGTGTGTCCTACACTCGAACGCGTCGTCCACGTCCTCGTGGGGAGCCGCGGCACGTCGCGTTTCCCCCGACCAGGCAAGTCTTCAAAAGCGACCACTTTCTTTTCCGCGCTTCTCTTTATATTTATATATTTTTTCGAGCGGAAATCCGCGCTTTTTTCAAAGCGGCGCGCCGAAGTGACAAAGCAGCCTCTTATCGTGAAAGCGAATGACAAGGTGGGTCCACTTCGCTGGGGCCGGCCGGCCGCGCCGAGGCGACGCCGAGCCGACAACGCCATCGTGGGACGTCGTGCCGCCACACTCTGGAAAGACTGCGAAAACAGAAGTCCCCTACAAACAGGCTTTTTTGCAACCGAGCTGGCCTGGCACCTGTGAGGTAGGCTGACCGGCCCGCCGGCGCGCAGGCGTGCCCGGCCTGGCTGCCTACCCCCGACTTGGCGGGCGCTCCCGACCCGACTGCCCTGGCAGCTGGCAGCGCACAGTGTGCCGGACGCGTTTTGAGCTCCAGAGTCGCTGAACGGGACTCGAACCGAACGTGTGACCCCACCAATGGATCGCTCTCCGAACGAGGAATCCATTGGTGGGGTCACACGTTCGGTTCGAGTCCTGCTTAGCAACTCTGGAACTAAAACGCGTCTGGAGTTTTGTCCACCTCCACCGGTCTTCTGGCCCACTGTGCGCCCTGGCAGCTGGCAGTGGCAGCACCCACCCGTGCCGTCGCTACCCCTCGCGTGAGGGACTGTCAGACACGACCCCACGCGCTGCTTCCCTGCGTCTGCGCTGGGGGTATTGCCAGTGACGGCGCCACCCCAAGCGTTGCGTCCGTTGCGTCAGCGCGTCAGCCTGGCGTCAGCCGGCCCGATAGCGTAGTGCGTCCTTTTGTTAGACGTTCCGGCGCAGATCTGGCCTGTCTGGCCGCGCGCCGAAAAGCAAAAGCATTTTCTCTCCAAAAGACGCACTGTCACCGCCGGCCGGTAGCGGCCCGGCCTGGACGACGACGCTGACCTGCCTCAGGCCGCCCCCTCCCCCCGGACACGCTCTGGTGACGCCCTGACCAGACTGCTGACATGGCCACTCGTCCGAATCACTCCGCCCTCCCTTTCTCATTTACAATCTTTTTTCATTTTTCTTGCAATTTCAACAAAAGATTTTTTAACAAATTATGTCGCACAGTGGGCCAGAAGACCGGTGGAGGCGGCCAAAACTCTAGGCGCGTTTTGAGCTCCAGAGTCGCTAAATGGGACTCGAACCGATCGTGAGACCCCATCAATAGATTCTTCGTTCGGAGAGCAATCCATTGGTGGGGTCAAACGATCGGTTCGAGTCTCGTTTAGCGACTCTGGAGCTTAAAACGCGTCTACAGTTTTGGCCGCCTCCTCCGGTCTTCTGGCCCACTGTGTGTCGTTGGCGCTTGTGTACAGTGTCGAGATTGGCGATCCGCTCCACCCCTACCCGAAAATAACCTAACCTACCACGGTTCAAACTGACTTGAGATTTTTTTAAAAGCCGCAGCGCGTCTTCCACGGCGTCTCCACGGACTGAGGATGTCAACTTTCGATTTAGAGATTGACGCGGCCGCGGGGTCTCACGGCGCGTTCTGTCTCCGCCGCGCCGGCGGGGCGTCCCGTAGGAGCGAGAGAGACAGAGCGACGGAATAGGCGGCAGGTGATTATCGACTGTAGCGGACCACGAGCAGCTCGCCGCGCGGCTAGCCCAGGGCTACCCAGGGCTAGCCAAGCTCTACAGTGGGCCAGAAGACCGGCGGAGGCGCACAAAGCTCTAGACGCGTTTCGAGCTCCAGAGTCGCTAAATAGGACTTGAACCGAACGTGTGACCCCACCAATGGATTCCTCGTTCGGAGAGCAATCCATTGGTGGGGTCACACGTTCGGTTCGAGTCCCATTTAGTGACTCTGGAGCTCAAAACGCGTCTAGAGTTTCGGCCGCCTCCACCGGTCTTCTGGCCCACTGTGCGCGCGGGATTTTTCGATTGTTTTCGATAAATCGATTTATTGGCCTGGCCTGATGGGTTGTCTGGTGGGCCTTCCCTCCGTTGCCACTCACCTCGCGGGCCGCTCTGCTGTTCCCTCTGCTTCGCGCTGCACTTGTCGTCGTAATCCAATGTAATTGTCACACACTTTCAGGCCACTCGCACACCGCGCCGCGCTGCCCCGCTTCCCCGCGCCGCCCCTGATTGGCAGCGGGACGTCCGTCTCTGTCTTCTTTTCCCGATCCTCGCGGCGCAGTCCGCGGTGTAGTCCGCGGCGGTGGCGGCAACGCGGTAACGGTTCGCGTCAGGTGGAGGGAGACGCCGGCGCGCCGCCGGACCGGTTCAGTCCGTTCTCCGTACGTCGCCGTCGACAACTGAGGAGGGCCTCCGCCTCAAGACGCAACCTCGGCGCGCCCCGCCCCGCCCCGCCCCGCCCCGCCCCGCCCCGCCCCGCCCCCGCCCCGCCCCGCCACGGAGCCCCCGCCACCGCGGCGGGGCCGGCTCCCATCGGGCTGCACCCCGGCTGCACCTCCGGGCGGTGCACCTGCGCGCCTGCAGAGCACTGCAGAGCCAATCCGGAGATCGCCTCGTCGCTCTGTCTCTCTCGCACCCCGACGGGGCGCACCGTGAGTGCGACAGAGACAGCGCTCGTTCGGATTGGTCGCGCTGCACCCACGGACAGCGGGCAGCACCCTAGCGCCGCGGCGGCCGCGCGCCTCACAGTGGGCCAGAAGACCGGTGGAGGCGGACACAACTCTTGACGCGTTTTGAGCTCCAGAGTCGCTAAACAGGGCTCGAACCGAACGTGTGACCCCACCAATGGATTGCTCTCCGAACGAGGAATGCATTGGTGGGGTCACACGTCCGGTTCGAGTCCCATTTAGCGACTCTTGAGCTCAAAACGCGTCTAGAGTTTTGTCCGTCTCCACCGGTCTTCTGGCCCACTGTGCGCCTCGACTCTCGACCTGTGCCCCGCCTGTGCACTCACTCGTCCTCGTCATGGGCCATAACCCGCGTGCCATTGGCGACCGGCGGCAAACCGCGGACGGCGTGGCCGAGCTCGGCTATGCACCGACTCCCAACTCGAAGAGTCGGCGTTCGACTCCCGGCAACGCAAGATTCCGGGGAAGTTTTCGGTCTCTTTGAAATCATTTGAATGGGTTCGGCGAGGTGTGAAATTGCTTTAATCCAAACTTCAACGCAAAATTCAGATATTGAACCTTTGGATTTTCAAAGTAGGAATGCCGTTGAATTCGAACCTCAGCTCCTCTGTTTTCGGGCAGCCGATTCAAACGGGAGGTTTTCGACAGTGCATCGGCGGGTCGAGGCCACGGCCAGGGCCGTTCTAGGCCACCCGAGGGTGGGGCGGGGCGGGGCGGGGCGCAGAAGGAGTCCTGCCAGGACCACTCAGCCCGGCCGCCCCGCCAGACTCCGTCGCCCGAAGATGCCCGCCGAGGCCCGAGGCTGCCCAAGGCGCGGGGCGGCCAATGCACACGTCTGACCGGGTCCGGCCGGCCGGGCCGTCGCACAGTGGGCCAGAAGAGCGGTGGTGGCGGCCAAAACTCTAGACGCGTTTTGAGCTCCAGAGTCGCTAAACAGGCCTCGAACCGCACGTGTGACCCCACCAATGGATTCCTCGCTCGGAGAGCAATCCATTGATGGGGTCACACGCTTGGTTCGAGCCCTGTTTAGCGACTCTGGAACTCAAAAACGCGTCTAGAGTTTTGGCCGCCTCCACCGGTCTTCTGGCCCACTGTGCGTCGCCCAGCATCGGCACGCCGCGGCACGCAAGCCGTGGACGGTTCGGACCGGACGGTGCAGGGCGCGCCGCGGCCGGGACCTCAGGGAACGCACTTCACTCACCTCGGCCACCTTCTAGGCGAGGAGCGGGCGCGCGGCCTCGGCGTCGCCCTGCTGCAGGCGCACGCGGATGTTGGCGCACACGAAGCCCAGCGCCTCGGTGACGGGCGCCAGGGTGGCGTGGGTGACGGCGCGCACGAGGGTGTTGAGGGCGCCGAGCGCCACGCGGCACGCGCGGAGGGTCGGCGACACGCACCAGATGTACTGCAACAACCGCAAGTCAGACACCTCGACGACGACGCAATGCCACGGCGGTGCGTTGTGGGCCAGAAGACCGACGCAGGTGGCCAAAACTCTAGACGCGTTTTGAGCTCCAGAGTCGCTAAACAGGCCTCGAACCAAACGTGTGACCCCACCAATGGATTCCTCGTTCGGAGAGCAATCTATTGGTGGGGTCACACGTTCGGTTCGAGTCCCGTTTGGCGACTCTGGAGCTCAAAACGCGTCAAGTTTTGGCCGCCTCCGCCGGTCTTCTGGCAAATCCACTGTGCAGTGCCTACCACGAAGGCGATGACGGCGAACCCGCCGCCCAGGACGACGGCGACGGGCGGCCCCAGCACGCAGGACAGCGACGTGTACACGATGTCACGCGTCAGCCGGAACAGCCTCGCGGAGCCCCGCCAGGTGACGTCGGGCGAGCGGACGCCGTCGGGCTCGGCCACCACGTCCTCCCACAGGAGCTGCGTTTAAACCATTCAAACGCCGACAGGTTGGCCAACTTGCTTTCGACGGCCTTACGGCGGTAAGCGTACGCGTGGTTCACCTGCAAGTGCTGGTTGATCCTCGACGGGTCCCGGTCCTCGTACTCCTCGACGGCCACCACCCCGGCGGGCGCCAACTCCTGCAACAGCAAGAGGCAGTTATGGGTTCGAGTGGCGCGCCGCGAGTCCACCACCACACAGTGGGCCAGAAGACTGGTGAAGGCGGCCAAAACTCAAGAAGCGTTTCGAGCTCCAGAGTCTCTAAATGGGACTCGAACCGAGCGTGTGACCCCACCAATGGATTGCTCTCCGAACGAGGAATCACACGTTCCGTTCGATTCCCGCTTAGCGACTCTGGAGCTCAAATCGCGTCTGGAGTTTTGGCCGCCTCTACCGGTCTTCTGGCCCACTGTGCACCAGGTCGCCGTCGTCGCACCTTGGCGATGATGGGTCGCGGTGGCGGCGCGCAGCACGACAGCCCCGCGTCGTCGGCGTAGGGGTACTCGTAGCGCGCGTCCAGGAGGCGCGGGTCGGCCGCGCGCGGGTAGCGCTCCGACGGCGTGGCCACGGACACGGACACGCGGTGCTGGCCGTGCTGGCCGTGCTGGCGGGGGTATGCGGCGGCGTCCGGAGCGGACCGCGGCGCCGAGGCCGTGCGTGCCGCTGGAGCCGCTCTGACGGCGTGCCCGTCCATGGCGAGGACGCGGCCCGTCTCGGGGGCTCGCGGTGGCGCCGTCGTGGTGGTGGTGGTGCCTTGGCCGCGCCCCGCCCCGGGCATGACGCCGTGATTTCCGCCACAATAGGAGACGGCGCTGCCCTGCCCGGCACGCCTGGGCACAGTGGGCCAGAAGACCGGTGGAGGCGGCCAAAACTCTAGACGCGTTTTGAGCTCCAGAGTCGCGAAACAGGGCTCGAACCAAGCGTGAGACCCCATCAATGGATTGCTCTTCGAACGAGGAATCTATTGGTGGGGCACACGTGCGGTTCGAGGCCTGCTCAGCGACTCTGGAGCTCAAAACGCGTCTAGAGTTTTGGCCGCCTCCATCGGTCTTCTGGCCCACTGTGCTGGGGCACGCTCGGGCACGCTGGGGCACGCCGCCCCAGAACCAGCGCCCCCATCCCCTGCACCTAGAGGCCTAAATACTTCGTATGTATATAGGCCTCTACCTGCACCGTCCCTGCGTTCTCTTCCGTGGAGGGCTCTCCAGTGCCACAGCCCCAGTCCAGGATGGGGGTGCCATCTTTCGAAGAAAGTCTGCTCATCGTGTTTATTTTATTTTGGTTGATCCCTTGCTGACTTGAACCTGAACCGCGAAAGGTCTGCATCATCTGCATAGGCCTAGCAGCTTTGATGATGATGATGATGACCTCATAAGCGAATGGGTTGAATGCATTCATGCCATGGGTTCATGGCCAGTTGTACTGAAATTTCTTGGTGGTTTTGCAGGCGGGCCTTCACACAAGTCATGGGCCCAGAGTCCGAAAGTTTCCCAACAGAACCAAGGGTCCTATACGTCAAAGGGAATTCCAGGGATTTAGGACTGTAGGGGGCACTACAGTCCTATAAGGGGCCGGCAGAAGAGAATGAATTTCTCATACTGCGCCACTGTCAACTAGCAGAAGCAGAAAGCTTTCTGCGAGTGTTGTCGTTATCGATTATTCTTTTCTGCTTGCCAGAGCAGCAATACCTTCGTCTGTCTATTCTAAGGTGATAATTTTTTAAAAATTATGCCTATGTTGTGGATAAAAAATATTTTTTCTCTTACAGCGTTTATTGAACTTTCATGCATTTATTTTTTGTGTAGGTTATGTTGTATGCTGAGGCTTTCATGTAAACATTTTTCTTTTCATTTTCTGTAATTTGACATGAAAGTGAATTTCGAGCTTGAAAATGAGTTACATGAGTTACATGGCTTGTAGTATACCTTTTGTCTGAACTAGCCGAACATGTTTTGCTTAATCATTTTAGATAATTACTCTCTGTTTACTCCATCATCGGTCTTGTATTTAACTAAATTTTGTTTTATTCTGAAGAGCATTTCCAACATGGGATCTGTCGTCAGCAGGACAATGGAGGATGGCATGTCGAAGAACCGTGAATTTGTTAAGGAATTGAATACAATTATGGTGAGTATCCTATCAAAGTAAACACTAATCTGGAGGAAAAGAAGCATTTTTTTCATCCCTATTTCCCTCTTTTTCGATAAGGTGGAGAGGCAGCTTCATTCTCAAAACCAAATGAGAGAGCGCCTCATGGCCATGCAAATAGCACGGGCTCGTGAATTGCTGAATTGGATAGCTGTCTTCTACGCTGTCAGTGTGACTACCCTTTCCATGTCGTAAGTTCGCCTGTTCTTATCTTTGCACCTTATTTTAATCCGACATATTTGTCAATTAAATATTCCAACTCTGTTTCAGATATCGGCGGACAAGGAAACCCGGTTTCCTGATGCCCATCATTCCACTCTCCTTCATTCTCGCATATCAGGCAGATCTTTCTTATGGAACCAAACTTCACCGCATTAGAGGTAACTCTACCTCTTACTTCTGCTATTGCAGAAAAATCTGGCTTTTGCTTCATTCATGAACCAACTGTTCCTTTTTGTTCCAGCCGAAGCAGAGCACATAATGACACATGAATCTGAAAATCTGTTCCTGCCGTGTGGGGTGCCCACTGTTTCCAGCATTGATCTTGCCCGACAAGTTGAAAGCGAAAGGCAAAAGCTGCACCCTCACATGCCAACTCTGTGAAACCCATATCTGTTTCAAAGAAATTGGCACTTGGGGTTTGTGACTTAATAATGTTGCAGTCCCTTTCTTCACTTGGAGATCCCAAAGGTTTCAGCAAAAACTTTCCCTTATTTCAAGATCATTTGATCATTCTGTTATTATCATTGTATGTACTTACTGAAAAATTGACAAATAGTGGGTAGTTCAATTTTTTAAAAATATTGTTGTTGTTTCTGAAGTGGCATTGGCACTGAGCATTGGCATGTTGTCATGATCCCTTAGTGTCTTTTGGACAATAAATACATAAGTACTTACAGAGGCTTATGGTCCTTGCTACTTTTTGGAAGTTGATATTGTGTAAATCTTTGTTACCAATATTTTGGCTCCATGTTAATGTAATTTTTAGTGATCTTTGTGTGATCTGCAACCTGAGACATTTTTTTTTCTATTTCAAGCCTAATTGACATTTTGTGATAACTGTGAATACTCGCAAATTCTTGCCGTTTATTTGTTCATTCCTGTCACCACTCGTAAACACCACAAGAGTGATGCATTTTTTTGTCTGTTTGTTGATAAGGTGTTTCTATGTTACTTGTACTTGTTTATGCTGTCCTGAACCGTATTTTTTATTAAATTTAGGTCTTGTGATTTTTTAGTATTATTGAATTGTTTTTTGTTTGTTTTTTTAGTCATTTTTGAGAGTGTATTGATCAACAGCAATATTTTGACCATGTGGTTTGCAGGAGCCGAAATCAGCAGGAGACATGTCTTCCTCTTCTGTTTCTTGTTTTTGTTTGTTTTTCTTTTATTTAAATTTGACGCACATTGAGTTCTTAAAAACGATCAACCATGACATTGGGGCGCCTTTTCTGTACATAATCTGTTTAATCATTCAAAAATTAAAGCAAATTTATGGAACAAGAAACCATCTTTTATTCTTCAGCCCTCGAAGAGATACACATCGGATACACCACCTTCAACAACCATAGAATTCTCTAAACTAGTTCAGATCATTGATCTTAGAGGCTTCACCTCCATTGAACTGGGTTTGAATCGCAAGCGAAGGGGAAGGACAAAAGAACACTGAAACAAACGAAGGATGACTGTTATTACCAACAACAAAACATGAAACATTGCATGTTCTTTTTTTATTTACCTTTTCGAAATCGACTGTTACAGTCAAAGTTGAATATTTTTCTTATCAAAATGAATAACCAGCAGAAAGTTTTCAAAGAATTTTACTCTCTAATGGATACGTCAGTCATGCCAACCTGAAAGATGTCACTGCCTGCTGGCGTTAAAATGCTTCTGCTGTGATCCTGATCCACAGCGTTAAAACGCGTACATTGTGCATTATTTATTGATTTTGTAGCAGTTGTTCGTACGGAATCAACAAGAACTGTTCTGATGTGAAGCTGTCATGCTTCATTTTTCATGAAATGAGTAAGCCCCAGTTAATATGTAATGGATAGCTGTCAAACCTTGGTTCAGTTGCGCTTGAATTGTCAGGCAAAGCAGTAATTGCTCGATAAAACAATAATGTCTTCATTTGTATTCAATATCATACCTTGGTAACTGACTTTGGTTTGTTTTTGGATATCATGCGAGCTTGACCGCTTAATCGAATTCTTCTCTAATGAGGTTATTTGTATGACACAGTCTGACATCTGGTTACTGTGTCTTCAGTTGCTCTAGTTTCTTTTAGGGTCTTTTTTGACGCCGAAAGTTCTCTCACATTGTTATCAGTATATTTATTTATTTTTTTGCGTTGTGTTTTTTTTTCAGGTTAGTTAGAGACTATATTTGTTTCCTCTGCTATTGATTGATGTAAGTATTAAATTTACTGCATCATCTGATGTTTATTTACTTTTCAATAATCTTGAAAACTTGCAGAATAACACCAACTGTCAAGATGAGCTACCGTGACGAGGATGATCCTTTCGAGGAGGATATTGTATTCGACCAGGCAGGCCTTCTCAGTACATCTCGTAAATCTTCAAAGTCAGCAATTCGGAGAGTGTCTAGTGGAAAATGTGCCATGTTTTCTAAAACCCTGGGCCTCTGTGGAGCATTTTTGGGCCTAGTGAGTGCCAAAGTTTTAGCTGATGGATTACTTTCCCTTGATTTTTATCTAATCTCGTAATTGTGTTTCGATTTCAGGGGTTGACTTTTGCCATTCCGGGACCTTTATCCCCCGTACCCCCTGCTGAGCTGAGTCATGACAAAAGTTTAATGACATATGAAGTAATGTATAGGTGCCAAGGCTTTATGATAGGAGCAATGTTTGGTATGCAATATCCACACATCACTCTTCAATATGAAACTTTCTATCCCTTTTCTTGTTGCATTAATGAATTAACTAATTTATTTTAGGTGCTAGACTACTAGACAGATTCAACCGATTGTTCCTGGTTTTCCTTGCCTTGCTTGTTACTGCACTGCTAGTGACTATTATTCCATGGTGTGGTAATGTATGGTTGCTAAGGACTGACATGTTTCTTCTCGGAGTATCTTTGGGCTTTTTGAGCACAGGTACTTCTAATTTTACTTCTGCACTCATTTGTGTTGAATGCTTTGTGTTCGTTCTTAACAGTCTTTTTCCTTTTTAGGTGGCAATGTCCTCTGCCTAGATTTGTGGGGCAGAAATAGCGGTCCTTTCATGCAGGCCTTGCATTTCAGTTTTAGCCTGGGCGTCTTTTTGGCCCCTTTCCTCTCGCAGCCGTTGATGACGCCGGTGAATTATGCCCTTGTGTCACCCACCACTACACCAGCCAGCATGTTCCCTCTGCACAGGTAAGCTTATACTTCTCAACTTACTAAGAAAGCTGTCCTTTGCATAGTACTATTTTTTTTCTCTCTTTTTTTTTCAGATTGCCTCGGGATTTGGGAAGTATTTCTTCCAACGCTTCTGCATTAGTTGGAGCAGATACTTCCTCCCTCTCATCTTCAGCCTATCACGACTTGGCTTTCAACAAGTCTAGGGTAGATGTCAGCAACTCATCAACAACTCTTGCCCCTTTCTCAACTTCAACCACTAAAAAGAGTGTGCAAGAACTAAGCGGCCTGCTGCTTCTGGCCCCTGCCTCTAGCAGTGGTGTGAACTCATCCAAGGCCGTGCTGGTGGCTTCCTCCTCTGGTCCTTCGATGCCAGCAAATGCTTCACTGCCATTGTCGAAGGCCTCCACCCCAGCACCTGCATCCATACCTGTTCCAGCCTCCGAGACTGTCAGCTCTCCCAAAGTTGATGTCTCTACAACCACACACAGATCTCCAAGGCCCAAGCCAGTTCTGACTAACTCAGAAAAACTGAAGGACAATAAATGGGAGAATGAAAAGTTCCGTAAACCACCTCCAGAAGACTTGGTGCCTGTATCTACCACTATGAAGCCAATGGTCAGAGCGGAAAATAAGACAACCGTCGTCAGTAATGTGTCTACTAGTACTACCCCATCACCAATCTCCAATGGAAAAAATGCTACAGTGAAACCAAACGGTATCAAAAACATTCCAACATCATTCAACTCTTCAAAGTTGGCTGTGATTTTGGATGGGAGCAGTGGTTCTAATCTATCTGCAATTCCTTCATCTGCTCCAAGCAATGTTCCTCTTGTGAAAGAAAGTTCAGTTGCTACGACAATCTCAAGCGTTTTAACCACCAGCAGTGTTCCTCTGAAGATAAACTCTAGCCTTGTGACTAATAATTCTAAAGCTCTCCCCGGCACTGTACCTGCTAAGAGTGATGAGGCTCTTCACATCAGTGATGCAGGCACAGTACCGATGTCTCCTCTGTTGCCCCATAAGAGCGACTCTGGTGTAGCACCACTAAAAGGCTCCAAGGCTAAAGAAACTGCTGCAAATCACACTACACCTGCTCCAATCACACTTGAAGCAATACTGTCTTCAAGTGCTGTGAAACAAGGAGAAGCCTCAAACCACTCTGTTCTTAGCAAAGTCCTAAAAGATACTCCACCAGAAATGTCTAACAGCGAAAACAGTTCTAAAATTAATTTAAGCAGTGGATCTTCAGGTTCTGTCAACCGTGCTTCGTCTGCTGGGAAGGAGAAAGATTCCAGCAGTAACTCTTCAGTTGAGATTTCTCTTCCTGTAATTGAGAAAACCCAGGCTGCAAATGATTCTCATTTTATGGGGAAGAGTATCTCCTTAGACGAACAAGATTCCAACCAAAATGGTCCTGCAAGTACCTCCAGTCAACAACCGCAAGCCCGGATGTCCACTCCGCAGCCCCCAAAGAATTCAAAACCTGGTGAACGTGAAAAAACTTCGACTGTCAACCAGAAATCTTTTGGAGGAGGACATGTTAAGGCTATGATGGAGGCTAAGCCTTTGCAATCGACCACAGAGTCTTCTACCAGTGTGCATTATTACAAAAGCAGCAATGCACCAGAGAAATTGCCTGATGCCAAAATCAAAGTGAGGCCCACCTCAAACCCATCCACTCCATTACTTGTGAAAAATATTCCTGCAGTAGTTGAAACCATCAGTCATTCTGAGGCTCCTGCAGGTCCTAAACACGTTCACCACAGTAAGCCAGCTTCCACAGTTGTTAATGACACAGCAGAAGTTACTCACACTGTCATTGATGATGTCGCTAATCGACTGGAGAAATATGGTTTAAGTCGTATGGAACTCATGTACCTCACTGTGGGCATGGTTCTTCTAGCCACCTCTTTCCTCTTTCTTGGCTTCTTATGCTTCAACCCCAGGGATCCAAAGTCTAAAACAGATGAAGAGGACATGAACGTCCATGTTGGTCGTGTTGGTCATCGAAGTCGCCTTAGCTCTGGGCAATCTACTATTGTTCCTTCACGGTGCCTGAGGCACACACTCATTGGATTGATGATGGTTTTGTTAATGATAACATCAGGTGTTCAGGCTATGTATGGACAGCTGCTGTTAGTCTATGCCCTGCAAGCTCCTTTGCAGCTCTCTCAGGTAAACAACAACTTTATTTGACTTAATTGAATAGTAAATCTGTCATGAATTGAGACTTTTCTAACAGTATGTTTTTTTGTTTTTTAAAGTCAACAGGTACTGCTCTAACGGCTACTTTCTGGGGTGCCCTGACAAGCACGCGCTTTGCTTGCATCCTACTTGCAAGTGCATTGTCTCCGACAGCGATGCTTGTCCTGAGTGTTGCTATTTGTTCGTGTGCAACTTGGCTTCTATCTGCTTTTGCCTCTTCGTCAGAGGTTGCATTGTGGATTGGATCTGTCATGGTCAGCGTTGGTACAGCATCAGTTATCCCATCAGGTAAAACACAATTATTTTTTTGTGTTTTTTATCTTTGTTACCATGGGCAAAGTTCTGAAATGCATCAATTTTTGGTTTGGCAGGGATGCTCTGGATGCAGAGGCACGTTTTGATAACACACCGAGTAGCAGCGATGCTGGTTATGGGACCAGCCATGGGTGAAATGTTTTTCCCCACTCTTGCGTACAAGATGATGGTGTCCCTCGGACCAGCAAGTCTGGTTCACTTGCCTGCGCTGCTCAGCCTTTTCGCAATAGCAGTGTGGGCTGCAGAATGGCGGCTTGCCAGATATCCTCGTCAACCCATGTGCTCGCATGGAGACGAGTCATCAGGCTACCAACTTGCCAATCAACATGACGAAGACGATCTTCTTGACTTAACAATGTCTCCAATTGTTAATGGCACCACAGCTATTCTGAGAAATCATTCTCGGTCAAATGCAAGCGGCCTTGGAATACATCGTATGAGTGCATAGCATCAAGCCATCTACATGTAATGTAGAGTGAACACGGAGCAATTTCAATGGACACTTACTTAGTGCAATTTGAATCAAAATCTCACTCACTTACATGCAGATAATTTTTGTCAAAACGGAAGTGCATGATGTATGCTGGTGGACATGTTACCTGATAGAAGGGCGATGAGTTGTGCTATTTTAGGAGAGAGTATGACTGCTGTTTCAAATGTTTTGTGTGAAACTGGATTTGGGAAACCGCCTTGCTTAAGTACTACAATTCCTCTTCTACCCTCTTTCCTATGTACTTATTAATTATCTTCAAGACTTAGTTTTGGTGAATTTGAATTCCTTTATTGTTCGAGGAACAATCAAATACAAGACGCTTATCATCTTAACATTATGTTAACACCTTTCAATTCTGTCATCTGTTTTTATCAACCATTTAGGTAGGGATTGTTTTACTTAGTTCATCATAAAATGTATTCACAGCCATTGGATTAGAATGAGACTTAGTGTTCTGTTTGTGTGTGTTTGTATGTTTGCTCAGTTTGTTTTTTACAAATTGAAAGTTACTTAAGTGTGTTCCCTACCACATGGTAAGCACATCACCAAGGACCACTAAATTTTATTCCAATCATGTATTGACAATTTTTAAAAGTATTGTTTCTTTATTTTGCTTTTTTCAAATCAAAACTAGTTCACAGGCACTGCGTGTTGAATTTAGGAAAATTGAGTGCTGAACCGATTTTAATAAGTTGTTAACGTCTTACAAGTATCAGCGTCTTGTGCCTTTCTCAATTTCCCTAAAGTCTTCCATGTCTGTGGACCAATTGCTGGTAGCAAATTAATTCAATTGCTCAGTTTGCTGATCACTTGTGAATTCATGTTCTCTTCCCTCAAGGCTAGCAATTCCAGTCCTTTCTAATTTTTATTAGATTTAACTTTCTCTTTCCTTTCTAGTAACTATTGGATTTTCTTCATGTCTCTAAAGTTGTTATTTCTTTCAAAGAAATATCTTTCCACTTTTTACTGTGTAGAATTTACTTCCTGAATTTTATTGACATAGATTTATGAGCCGTTAATTGACCACATAGTCCACTTGGTCTACTTGTAGCCTTGCTTGTTGCAGTCCGTACTTACAATTGGAGCATGTCGTATTGTGATGTTTGTAATTTGACTTGAAAGACTTTAGTTTTTTCTTTCTTTTTCTATGTGAATACTCTTTTAAAATTGTACATATCTCTCAGCCTCTGAATCCCAGGAGGTTTTGTGCAGTAGTAAATATTAGGAAAGTTAATCAATTATCATTTAATTATTGTGTAGGGTGTACTTGAAATCAAGTTGTGAGTCTAACTTACAAGAATGAGGAAATCAAAATTTTGTGATGTATCTAACCTCTGATGTGATCATATGAAGCATCTTGGCCTGTTGGGAGTTTTATTTTTATACATTTATTTCAGATCAAACTGTTGATGTGCTTGTTACGCCTTATTTTTTTTAGACTGTGCTCTTTTCTTTCTGTCCTTGAACTTGAACGTTCCTATGGGTTCTTATTGATTTATAGCATTATAAAAAGTTATTGTGATTTTCTGTGTGATTTCTTCTTTTTAAGTTTTGTATTTGTGTTTGTTGGATAAACAGTTTTTCTTGAAGTTGTATTGCAGACACTAGATTTGCTTTTGCTAGTCAAATGGTATGAATGATAAGGATTGAACTGAGTATTAAAAGCTTTCCTTTATCCATAATGGGATTACAATATCTCATCAAATAGACATTCATCTTGAGTTGTGATCAAAAACTTGCGTTTTCCCTTTTTTGTTGTTGGATTCCATTCTTTCTCAATCAGAGAAAGAAATCTCTCTTCTTTTTTGTTACTTACAATGAAAATATTTATGCAGTATTTATGCTGGTCATTATGTGAAATAAAAACTCTGGTCAGGAGCAAACCCTCATCAGCTTTGTGTCATTCAGGGTTAAACCTAAACCTCACCGGCTCCAGTGTTGGAGGACGCAGGACGCGCCAGGCGCACAGTGGGCCAGAAAACCGGTGGAGGCGGCCAAAATTCTTGACGCGTTTTGAGCTCCAGTCACTAAATGGGACTAGAATCGAACGTGTGACCCCACCAATGAATTCCTCGTTCGGAGAGCAATCAATTGGTGGGGTCACACGTTCGGTTCGAGGCCTGTTCAGCGACTCTGGAGCTCAAAACGCGTCAAGAGTTTTGGCCGCCTCCGCCGGTCGTCTGGCCCACTGTGAGGCGCTACGCGGCGCTACGCGGCGCTACGAGCAGCGAATGCTTTGTCCGAGGTGGGCCTGACTGACGGGGTCCTGGATGAACTCGTACACGGAGGCCCTGCCCTCGCTGGGGCCGATGCCGATGTCGTCGTACAGGTTCTCCGCGTCGGCCTCCGCGGCCTTCCCCGCCGCCAGGTTGCAGTAGTGCGGGGCTGGGGGCCGCGCCGCCACGTCGTCGTAGAGGGGCCGGGCCAGGAGGTCGGCGTCGTCCTGGACCTCCACCGGGGACGCCCTGGCGGTGGCGGACGCCACGCTCAGGTTGGCGTAGCTTGGGCCGACGGCGAAGTCCGCGCCGTTGGCGTAGCCGTTGGCGTAGCTCGGCCCGTCCCTCTCGGGCGGCGCGATGTCGTGGTAGATGTCCTCGCCGCCGGACAGCATGGACTCGTACTCCTGCTGCTGGTCCTGACAGTGGGGCAGACTCGGCGTCAGTTCGCGGTCCGCTCCGCAAGGTGCCGACTGTGGGGCGGTACACAGTGGGCCAGAAGACCGGTTGAGGCGGCCAAAACTCTGGACGTGTTTTGAGCTCCAGAGTCGCTAAATGGGACTCGAACCGAACGTGTGACCCCACCAATGGATTGTTCGTTCGGAGAGCAATCCATTGGTGGGGTCACACGTTCGGTTCGAGTCCTGTTCAGCGACTCTGGAGCTCTAAACGCGTCTAGAGTTTTGGCCGCCTCCCGGTCTTCTGGCCCTCTGTGCGGTACTCACGTCGTCCAGGCCCGGGGGCAGCTCGGGGGGCGGCGTCAGCGGCGGCGGCGGGGGCTGGTCTGCGAGGCCGGGGAGCAGCGACGCCGCGGCCGCCAAGCAGTCCGTCACCTCGGCGGAGCCGGCCCGGGACTGCGACCGTGACCTGGAGCCGGAGTGGAGCTTGGCGTCGTCCGCGTCCAGGGCCGCGGCCACGCTGCCGGCGGTCAGCACGGGGGACTCGTCGGCGCGAGAGGTCGGCGTCGATGGCGAGGGTGGCGACGGCCAGGGGGTGTCCTGGGAGGCGCGGCGCAGCGCGTCGACCCAGGACTGGGCCTCCGCGTCGTCAGACACCCACAGCTGCAAGCCAGTCAGACTGTGAAAACGGAAGGCCGGCCGGGTTTCGAACCCTGGTCCGCACGGAGACTCACCTCGTGAGTCTTCCTGCCAGGGCAGCACAGCTCCAAGGCGGGGCCCTGGCGGCGGCGGGCCGTGTACACGGCGCAGCAGGGGTCGTAGCAGGGGGCCGCGCCGTCGCCGCCCCCGGGGGCCGCGAGGGGCAGCACGAGGCGGGGCCGGGAGGAGCGCGGGCCCGCGAACACCAGCAGGCGGGCGGGGGCGGCCAGCAGGGCGGCCCAGCCGCGGCGGCCGACGCGGAACCAGCGGCCCGGACCGCCGCGGTGCACCACGCCGCTCTTGACGGCCAGCTCCCTCGCCGCCGTGGCGCTGACGGCGTAGTCGGGGCTCAGGTCGGGCCGGGGGCAGGACGGCGCCCCTCTCGGCGGCCAGTCGTCCACGCTGTCGTCCTGGCACTCGGAGCAGTCCGCCGAGGTGTCCAGGTCGCCGACGTCGCCGGGCCGCGCGGTCCACAGCCACTTGTCGGCGGAGTCCGTGTCGTCGACGGCGACCTGGGACTGGGGGCGCGCGGCGGGCGGCGGCGGGGTGCAGTCCACTGCAACACAACAGGCGTGACCACCCGGCGTCGCGAGCTCCCCGTCGAGGCCGTGGCACAGTGCACACAAAATCTATGTGTGTACTCAGTACACACTTCTAGGTGCGTGCTTACAAGCATGCACTTCTAGGTGTGTACTTGCCTAAGCACGCACCTAGAAGTGTGTACTTGAATGAGTACACACTTATAAGTGTGTACTCACTGAGTACACACATAGAAGTGCATGCGTTTTCCCTATGCCGCGCATGCACCTCGCAAGTGTGTACTCACTGAGTACACACTTATAAGTGTGTACTCACTGAGTACACACTTATAAGTGTGTACTCATTCAAGTACACACTTCTAGGTGCGTGCTTAGGCAAGTACACACCTAGAAGTGCATGCTTGTAAGCACGCACCTAGAAGTGTGTACTGAGTACACACATAGATTTTGTGTGTGGGCCAGAAGACCGGTGGAGGCGGCCAAAACTCTAGACGCGTTTTGAGCCCCAGAGTCGCTAAATGGGCCTCGAACCGAACGTGTGACCCCACCAATGGATTGCTCTCCGAACGAGGACTCCATTGGTGCACTGTTAAAAAAATTATGAATTTTCAAAGCAGTTTTGATGACAATTTTCCGAACACGGATATGAAATTTACAAACATTGCAATTTTCAGAACTTGATGCGAAAATTCGAAACAAATTTCGTAAAATTGACAATTGTTGGTAATTTTCAAACCATGTTCTGAAAATTGCGAATCTTAAGTGTTGATTTTGAGCACACAATAGTAATTTTCCGAATCCGATTGTAAATTTTATAACTAGCTCAAGAGGCGTGGCCAAGGGGCGCTGGTAGAGTCATCAGTAGCTGACCCTCCGCCTCCCGTGGGACGTGGTAGCACAGCGGTAAAGAGCGCGCACCACAAGTCAAAGATCCCGGGTTCGAAACCCACTGATCAAAAGCAGAATCGGTTCACTAAATGGCATAAGGCCGCATAGGTGTTCATATACATGAACACTTGGTCGTCCTTTTGCTTAACTGCCCTAAAATGACCTCGCAAACGCGAATATGAATTTTCATAACATGATATGAATTTTCATAACGTGATTGTAAAACAATTTACAATCATTTGTGATTTTAATTTTCATAACAATTGTTTGTGAAAAAAAATGCCAACCAATGTTATGAAAATTACAACTGATTTTTTTAACAGTGTGGGGTCACACGTTCTTCGAGTCCTATAGCGACTCTGGAGCTCAAAACGCGTCCGGTATTTTGATCACCTCCACCGGTCCTCTGGCCCACTGTGCGTTGCAACCCTACCGAGCGCGCGGGGCGGCCTCTGCAGCGTGCCCTTCATGTCCATGTAGGAGGGCCGGAACGCCGTGTCGGCCTGCTGCAGCCGCGCCACCAGGCCGCGCAGCGCGTCCTGCGAGACGCCCGTCTCGGCCAGCTCGGCCAGCTGGGGCAGCTCCAGGCGCAGCAGCTGCTGCATGAAGAGCAGGACATCTGCAGAAGAGAAAGCCGATCTTGTTCACGTCGGAGCGACAAAGCGAGGCGCGTCTTCGCTGGTCTTCACACGCACGGCAGCGGCCATCGTTACACGCCACTCTTTTTCGCACGACCGCGCGGCTCCGCCAGTAGTACAAATGTTACAGGAGGCGGCTAAAACTCTAGACGCGTTTTGAGCTCCAGAGCCGCTAAATGGGACTCGAACCGAACGTGTGACCCCACCAATGGATTGCTCTCCGAACGAGGAATTCATTGGTGGGGTCACACGATCGGTTCGAGTCCCATTTAGCGACTCTGGAGCTCAAAACGCGTCTAGAGTTTTGGCCGCCTCCACCGGTCTTCTGGCCCACTGTGCGGCGACGCGTGTGGTGGGCTTGCTGCCATCTGCAACGCGGCCTATGCATCGACTGCGTGACTGCCAGTCCGCGTTCGAGGCGGCCGATGCGGGCAGCACGCGGGGCGCCCCGGACGCGGCCCTTGGAGGCGTGAGAGCACGCGGTGCGTGGCGCGCCAGCAGGCTGGCTCCGAGAGTCGTTTCTCTGTCTCTCTCGCACTCGCGGGGCGTCCCGTGTGCGTGCGAGAGAGACGGAGCGGCTGGCCGTGGCGCAGCGCGGCGCAGCGCGACGGGAATAGCTGAAAGATGCACTATTGAGGGAGCGCGCCGCGCCGCGCTGCCCTTCGGCCTGGCGCCGAGCACCACAAAGCGTCGCCCCGTCTCTCTCGCACCCATGGGGCGTTCCGAGGAGGTGCGAGAGGGACGCACAGTGAGTGGGCCAGAAGACCGGTGGAGGTGGACAAAACTCAAGACGCGTTTTGAGCTCCAGAGTCGCTAAACAGGACTCGAACCGAACAAGTGACCCCACCGATGGATTGCTCTCCGAACGAGGAATCCATTGGTGGGGTCACACGTTCGGTTCGAGCCCGAGGGGGTAACCACTCCCGTAATACCCTGTACACAAAAACCGTGTATTACGCGTAATACACGTGATCGTAATACCATTTTTGGGTCAAATGTGCCAAATTTGGGCATTTTAGGGCCGTAATACACGTGTAATACACCCGTAATACAGCGTAATACCGAGTAGTCTGTACACGATTTCTTGAAGTGTTTACCCCCTCGTTCGAGCCCAGTTAGGCGACTCTGGAGCTCAAAACGCGACTGAAATTTTGTCCGCCTCCACCGGTCTTCTGGCCCACTGTGTGACGGAGCACCACGAGGAATCTGCCTGCAGGCGCGCAAACGAGCCAAATGTTGCTGCACCTCCCCGAACCAGACCACTTCTCTCGCGCGGCGGTTACGAGCCGCCCAAATTTCTAATTCGGACAGCCCGTTTTGCGTAACGCTGCGCCGTTTTTATGGCTGTTATTTGCAGGGATTATGCGTGCGAAGCGAAGAGCGCGGCAGGTCCGCTGTAGTGTAGTGGTATCGCAGCGCGGCTCCATCTCTGCACACCATCACCACGCCGGCTTCGCAAGCTTGGCTTCCTCCTCGAGCACACGAACCAGACACTCTAAAAAAAATTATGAAATTTCATATCCAAAGGAGTCTAAAATTTCATAATCACGTTCTAAACCTCAATTTTTATAACCTTCGTATAAAATTTAAGATCGTGTTATGAAACCTAAGATTTGGGTTATGGATTTTAAGATTAACTGGTTATAAACTTTTAGAACAGAGTGACTTATAACTCTGGTTCTTAAAATCTAGATTTTCGCTTTGAAAGTTTATAACGCTAGCCGATTTTAGAGCAAGGTTCTGAAATTTTAAACCGTTTAGTCCTGCTGCCTAGTCCTTTATTCATGGTTAAATTAATAAAGAGGTGAAGTTTTCATTTTTATCGGCATGTGTTAACATTTTCCGAACCGCTAAGGTAGGAGTCCTAGGGGCGGTCTACAAACTGAAAAACGTACATTTTATGCACTAACTGGAGCAAGCACGCTTTTGCTAGCGTATGCCTACTACTTTTTAGTGCATACAGTTATTACATTAATGAGAGGTATGGAGAGCTGTCTGCTTCAGTTCGCGTGTACATGGCATGATGCACTAGTTAGTGCATGCTTGGCGGGCATGCGCTTGTTGGAGCGTACTTGCAGGCATGCTCCAGTTAATGCATGTTCAAAATTTGTGTGTAGTATTTCCCAAGAGGCTGCAAATCGCGTCCCTTGCAATGCCTGACCGGCCACCGTCCTCCGGGCCGAGCCGAGCCGAGCCGAGCCGGCCAAGCCGAGCCGAGCCGAGCCGCCCCGAGCCGGCCGAGCCGAGCCGCCCCGAGCCGAGTCGGCGCTGCTTCCACGGAAAATCACCGCTCGCCGGCCTGCCGGCCGAAGCCGAAGCTACCTGTGCCCGGCGAGGGGTCGCGTAATCCCTCGGCCACACGGGATTTCGGCGACACTGCGTCACTTTTAGTGTGTCTTTGTCTCCAGTGCTGTGCACAGCGTATCCAGTTCGCGTCCGCGTCACCGCAAGTTCGCGTCATCAATTTTGTTTCGCTATGTACCGTTAGTGCGCGTAGTGCGTAGAGTGCAGTTAAAGTGTTGCTTGTGGTGCCGAACAGCCACCACTCGTGTTCAAGAGTTACAAGCTATTTTGGCGACCCTCGGAAAAAGGACGTGTTTTCGCCAAAAGCGGTGTTACTGAGTGCTGTTATTCCATCTTCTTAACTGTAGGGACGGGCGATGAACGTGTGGGTGGCGTATTATGTCAATTCGCTTCTCCTCTTTCATCCTCGTCCCCAAAGTAGTTTCTGCGTGTCGACCGAGTTTCCCTAAAGTGCATCTGGATCTTATGCACTGCTGCGCCTCTGACTGTTAACAGCGTCGACTGCACTACAGTACAATGCTTATTTCCGTTGGCCAGCTGCAACGATTTGCGATAATACTGAGTGTGAAAAGAAATCATAGCTTTCTGAGATTTCATCATTTGTAACATATTCATTAAGAAAGGGATAAAGGTTTTATTTATTATTATTTTTTATTTATACATTTTGTGGGCAGTAATGAAACTATTATCATGTTTCATAATATTGGTTGTAGAGATTCAGAACCAAATGTGAATTTTCAAAACCAATTGATTCTAAAAAATTAATAAACTAGTTCTTACATTTCATAAACCACTTCTGAAAGTTTAGAACAGCAAGTTATGAAATTTAAGAACTTTTTGGATATGAAATTTAAGATCCATTGTTCTACAAATAACTTCAAATCCAGATTATGAAATTTAAGAAGCATTTTTTTTAGAGTGCGAGTTTGAGCGAACTGGCAGGCTGGCGCGGCCTGGCCGCCGCGTGGAGTGTGTGTGTACTTAGCCGCGTGTTGCGTTGTCCGTGTGTACTCCCAAGTTTTTCGCGGTTTGCAATGTTTGGCCACGCGCAGTCCGGCCGACGAGGACCAGCGATGTTTCGACGCGCTGCACAGTGGGCCAGAAGGCCGGTGGAGGCCAGGCTCGGACTGGCCCCCAAAAGGCCCCAGCGGATAAGACCGCAAAAAGGCCCCCGATCATCATTATGTTTTTACCCTTCATGACCAACTTTGTGAGGCTACCGCTCCCAAACTAGTTGCGGTCAATAGCCTTCCCGACACAGGGCATGAAAGAGTAGGGTCTTAAGAATACTAGAACGTCCGAGGGGGCCACCACCCACGTAATCCTGTGTACAAATTGGCTGGTAATCTACGGTAATCCATGCCGTTATCACGTAATCCTTGACAAAATTCTGTCAGTTTTCAACGTTTTTGAGTCATTTTTCAACTCTTTTGAGCCATTTTTCAACGTTTTTGAACCAATTGTCCAAAATTTCACGCGTAATCCCTACTTAATTTCCCGCAATCCCGTAATCTTGTGTACGCCTGAAATGAGAGTGGTGGCCCCCTCGAGAACGTAGAGGAAAGCCTTTTACGGTGACTAGATTGGACACAGTGGCCACCTAAAGTCAGCAAAATCAGCAAATTTTCGAGATTCGACCACTTTTTGACTAACTTGGTCGTAAAATCGTTGCGGTCAAAGCCAAAATCGTTGTGGTCAACGACTTCCCGACACAGGGCATGAAAGAGTAGGGTCTTAAGAATACTAGAACGTCGAGGGAAGCCTTTTACGGCGACTAGATTGGACACAGTGGCCACCTAAAGTCAGCAAAATCAGCAAATTTTCGAGATTCGACCACATTTTGACTAACTTGGTCGTAAAATCGTTGCGGTCAAAGCCAAAATCGTGGTGGTCAACGCCTTCCCGATACAGGGCATGAAAGAGTGGGGTCTTTAGAATACTAGGGCGTCGAGGTAGGCCGTTGGCCGCAACTAGATCGGACGCAGTTGCCGCCAAAAATCAGCGAAAACGGCTACTTTCGGAGATTTAATCACTTTTTGACCAACTTTGTGACGTTACTGGTTCCAAACCCGAAGGCCCCGGCAGATTTTTCTGCCTGTCTGCCCTGGCCAGCCCGAGCCTGGTGGAGGCGGCCAAACCTCTAGACGCGTTTTGAGCTCCAGAGTCGCTAAGCAGGACTCGAGCCAAACGTGTGACTCCACCAATGGATTGCTCTCCGAACGAGGAATCCATTGGTGGGGTCACACGGTCGGTTTGAGTCCTGCTTTGCGACTCTGGAGCTCAAAACGCGACCGTCTAGAGTTTTGGCCGCCTCCACCGGTCTTCTGGCCCACTGTGCGCTGACTCTCTCGCAACCAAACAACGCGTGAGTGCCAGAGAGAGACAGAGCTAGGCGCCAAAATGTGCTTGGCCAGCCAGGGAATTCCCCCGCACCGACCACGCCACTGTTAACTGGCTGTGTCCATTTCGAGTCCAAGTGATGCGTTGCGTACAGTGTGCAACTTACAGTGGACTCGCGGCAGGCTCCTCCCATTCGTAACACGCGTGACTGCACATGCACGTCCCCGAAAATCACCTCTGCGCCCCACACTGTAAGGCCTTGCGAGAAAACCGCGAGTTGGCACGCCGCTGTGCGAACTGTTGCGGTAGGCCTGGTTTCGAATCCCGGCGGCGGCGAGGCTGTGTTTCGCGGGAGTCAAAATCGAATCGACTTCGAGTGTAGCCAACTTGCTCGTTCCGCTTCGGAAAAGCCCTGCCTACACTGAAGATGGTTACATGGTTACCGAAAGTATTTCTCGGTGTGGTTTGGCGACCCGGACCCCAGCGGCCCAGCCAGCAGCCCACGCTGGCGGGCTGGACTGCCACTGACCGGCCGATTATGTCTGTCCAGTCATTTACTCGCAGTGCCGTGCCGGGCTTGCCGGGCCATGCCAGGGGTGTCACCTTGGGCGCTGCGACCCGCCGCCGTGCTGCTGTTGTTGTTGTTGTTGTTGTTGTTTGTTTTGGAAAGGCAAGCAGAATGCAAGTAGAATGCAGCCGGGAAAACGAGCAGTCATTCGTGGGGCTGGCCGGACACAACCGCCGGATCAAACACCTCTCCCACACCGGAAGTCGCTTCACTCGCCAGCCAGAAATAAGGCACACCTCGCGACGGTGGTGTAAACAATCGAATGCCGCAATCGGAGAAAAGGCGCGCGCGTTCTTTGAACTCGAAACAACAACAACATTTGGCGCGCTGCCAGGGCTTTGTTGTTGTTGTTGTTGTTGTTGTTGTTGGACGCACGCGCGTGCGTAATTAAAGAGCGACACCTGCCGGCCGGGCTTTGAACCCGGGCCGTTGTTCCCGCCAATCGGAGAGCACGTTGCCGTTCGACTCGTGACAGCCGCGGGTTCGAGTCACCGCTGGGGCGCCCATTTTTTTGCGCTTGATTTGTTTTACGCACCGCAATGAGTCACCGTCCGGCGGCGAGACGAAAGCCTGACGGCAAGCCACGGCAAGCGGCGGGCCGAGTCCGGGACAGTGGGCCAGAAGACCGGTGGAGGCGGCCAAAACTCTGGACGCGTGCAGAGCTCCAGAGTCGCTGAACAGGACTCGAACCCGACGTGTGACCCCACCAATGGACTGCTCTCCGAACGAGGAATCCATTGGTGGGGTCACAGGTTCGGTTCGAGTCCCTTTTAGCGACTCTGGAGCTCAAAACGCGAGTAGAAGTTTGGCCGCCTCCGCCAGTCTTCTGGCCCACTGTGGGCGACGCGAGAGAGACGGACGACGCTTCCGGACGCGGCCTGCAGACGGCCGTTTGGAGAGGCACACTGTAAAGCCCTGAAGGGGCGGGGTTCGACAACGAGTCGGGCTTTCAGGCACTTTCAGAGTCTCTTCCGTCACTTGCGTCACGTCTCTGGACGCTACGCCACGCGCACCGAGACACTCTGTCCGAAAAGCACATTCGGCTCGCCGCTTTGTCATTGACTTAGTGATTGTGTCGTCGCTCGCTGTTCAAGGAGATAAGGCGAGAGCGGGCTTTTTTCGGGTGGACTGGAGGCAGGCTGGGGAACCGACAACCCGAGTTCGACTGTCCCGGCTGCTGACAACCCTTTTTCCCGCTTGTGCACCCCTAACTTGAAACTGGAAACTTGAAACCGCGGTGCTTGGGCCTTGTCATCACATCGCAAAACACACACACACACTCGCGAGTTGGGTTGTGGCTCACCGTGCAGCAGGGTCTCCACCTCCGTCGCCATCCTGGCGCGTCCTGACGGCTGTCACCGGGGCTGGGGCTCCCGACGGGGGTCCGGTCGTCGACGGCGACGCTGCTCCCGCGCGGCGCTCGGCCCACTCCGTCTGACTGCGTCGACTGCGTCTGGCTGAATGATGGGGTCGACCTGCCGGCGTGCCGCACCGCGTGCCGCGTGCCCGGCCAGCAAACCCGTTGCTTGCCGTTGTTGTGGCTGCCTTGCCTGTGGCTGCCCGGGGAGGGGGCTCCTCGGCGGGGGGCGTGGCGGGGAGGGGGGGGGGGGGGGGCGCACGGCGCACGCACGCGGTGCGGGGGCCCCGCGGCTCGGCGGCCTCGTGCGTACTACATGCCGCGGCCACCGGGGGCACCGGGGGGGCTGGACGACTACAACGAAGGCCAAGAAGCAGCCCCCGGTGCACAGTGGGCCAGAAGACCGGTGGAGGCGGACAAAACTCCAGGCGCGTTTTGAGCTCCATAGTCGCTAAATTGGACTCGAACCGAACGTGTGACCCCACCAACGGATTCCTCGTTCGGAGAGCAATCCATTGGTGGGGTCACACGCTTGGTTCGAGCCCCGTTTAGCGACTCTGGAACTCAAAACGCGTCTAGAGCTTTGGCCGCCTCCACCAGTCTTCTGGCCCAGCCGTGCTTGCAGAGCTCGGAAAAAGACGAGGCCTGCAACTGAGGCTCACTGGTTTTCATTTATCTTTATTGCAGTGCACTGTAATTCGACAATGTAAGTGCAGTTGCCAATAAAATCATTTGCACATTGAATCTTATTGCCGCATCCTTAAACTAATACAGACTAAACAGACAAATATTTCAATAAGACTATATTTTTGTTCTCTTTGTTCTTTTTGGGGGGTTAAGTTCGCGGTTTGTACAGTTTGAATATCAAGTGGAAGATGAAGCACCAGAAGAGTTCGTTTTTTTCGTTCCACATCTCCACGCGGTCTTTGTAGAGGTGGTTCCGAGGGAAGGGCAGTAGGTTCAGCAGGTTCTTGTCAACGGTCCAGTTATTGTTGACGTAGAGTCCCTGAAATAAGAGTCGTTGGTAAAGCAGGAACGGTAATCGGGGAGAGATAGGCCGCATAGTGGGCCAGAAGACCGGTGGAGGCGGACAAAACTCTAGACGCGTGTTGAGCTCCGGAGTCGCTAAATGGGACTCGAACTGAACGTGTGATTGCTCTCCGAACGAGGAATCCATCGGTGGGGTCACACGCTCGGTTCGAGCCTCATTTGGCGAGAAGAACTCACGGTGGCGATGGGGCACAAGAAGGGCGGCTTGATGTTGACGAAGGTGGGCGACCAGACGGCGTGCTTGGCGGAGATGAAGGCGCAGCCCTCCATGGGCGAGTCCCAGGTCATGAAGTGCTCGCACTCGGCGCCGGCCTCCGTGCACGACGTGATGATCTGTCGCAACTGGGGAAGGGGGCTGCAGTTTGCCGAGTCCTAAACCTAACCTCACCTAACCGCACCTAACCTCACCTTGGTGATGGTCTGGGCGGGCTTCCGGACGTGGAAGGTGGTGTCCGCGAACACGTCGCCGTTGCGCATGTACCTGAGCTCGTAGGTGGCGTTCATGTCGAAGGTCTCGGGGCAGTGCTCCATCTCGACCCACTGGAAGATGAGCTTGCTGCCCAGCGGCGCGCTCGGCTTCTTCTGCGAATGCGCGCCAGTTTTCAAAACTCGGGGTTACTTTACCGGTGCACGGTGAGCCAGAAGACTGGCGCAGGCGGCAAAAATCCCGGACGCGGTTTGAGCTCCAGAGTCGCTAAATGGGACGCGAACCGAACGTGTGACCCCACCAATGGATTGCTCTCCGAACCAGGAATCCATTGGTGGGGTCACACGTTCGCTTCGAGTCCTGTTCAGCGACTCTGCAGCTCAAAACGCGTCTTTGGCCACCTCCACCGGTCCTCTGGCAAATCCACTGAGCGCACCTTGGCCGCGGCCAGGCCGGTCAGGGCGGCCAGCGCCAGCAGGATGAGGGCCTTCACGGCGGCGGGCATGTCGAGGCCGACTGAGTCTCCGAGTCCAGCCCGGCGCCGGGGCCCGACCAGGCCTTGCGTTGACAGTCCATCAGGGCTGACTCTGGTTGACAGGCCGTTGTCAGGCGGTGGACGCGGTGGACAGCGCACGCCGCCGGACCTGCCTCGGCACAGTGGGCCGGCCAGAAGGCCGGTGGAGGCGGCCAAAACTCTAGACGCGTTTTGAGCTCCAGAGTCGCTAAAACAAGCCTCGAACCGAACGTGTGACCCCATCAATGGATTCCTCGTTCGGAGAGCAATCCATTGGTGGGGACACACGTTCGGTTCGAGTCCAATTTAGCGACTCTGGAGCTCAAAACGCGTCTAGAGTTTTGGCCGCCTCCACCGGTCTTCTGGCCCACTGTGCTCGGCCTGCCGGGTCACTGGTCACGCTCGGCCATCGGCGTCAGCGCGTCAGCGCGTCAGCAAGCAGATTCCCCACCGATAGCCACCTCGATGAGTCCCGGAGTTGCAATGCAATGCGGCGCCGCCGTTTATTAAGAGATTGGCGAGTGCACCTGCCTGCGGCTGTGCGGCGCGTGGATACTCCCCGTCGCGCAGCGCAGCGCAGCGCGGGGTATCGCCGACGCTCGGAGTAGTGCCACTCCCACCCCGCGGGCGCCAGCCGCAGGGCTGGGGCGGGGCGGGGCGCGCTCTGGCGGCCGCGTTCGGAACCGGGGTGGCCGGGCAGCCGCCGGGTGGTGCAGGCACTGCAGACTGCAGCTGCATACAGTGTACGTGGTCCATTTCTCGAGAGACATGCAAAAATGACGCCAATTGCACTCGAAAAAAACAAAAAACAACAACAAGATTTTCAAAACTGTAGAAGTCGCGAAATTAATTCTTGAAATGATTGAATGATCTTGCTCTTTATTATGTTGCATCAATAATAGCTAAGGTTTAAACAATGCAGGAAAAGTGAAATATGCACGCGGTGAACGCTGGAGGAACGCGGATCTCCACGAGGAGGCCAAGAAGTAGCCATAATAAGCAAACAGCGCGGGGAAGGGAGGTAGACTGGGAGTCGTCGCTCTGTCTCTCTCGCACCCACTGACAGCGCCCCGCGAGTGCGAGAGAGACAGAGCGACGCCTCCCGGAATCAGTGTGCAGGGAAGTCCCGGACGGGAGAATGCGCTCGCGGAGAATAAATACAGTGGGGTGGGCAGGCCACCTCGGCGGCGAGCGTGGCAAGGCCGCCCCGCCACGCAGCGCCACGCCACTGGCACTCAGAGGGTGGCGGACTCACCGCGGTGGAAACTTAAACTGTCGAAGTTAGGCAATATTTCGAGAAGCGGGAGCGGGGCGGGGCGGGGCACCCTGGGAGTGAGCCCTGGCGTGGCGGCGCGGCGCCCCGGAGGGGAGGAGACAGTATTTACCTCTCTGCAGGCGAATCCTGAATCCTCGGCTCGCTGATATTTCGATTTATCGGTGGCCGTGGAAGGAGGACCGGCTCGGCTCGGCTCGGGTCGGCTCGGCTCGGCTCGGCTCGGCTCGGCTCGGCTCGGCTCGGCTCGGCTCGGCTCGGCTCGACTCGGCTCGGCGGCGAAACGATGTGTGCTCCGAAAGACACACACGTGTGACGGAAGTAAGCTGCAGTGTGGTGTCTGCTGCACTGCAAGCGCTGCGCCGGCGTGGCCGAGTTCGCTACACTATAAAACTCCCGCGTTGCACCAGTGCCGGAAGGGTTGCCATCCTCCAGCCTGCTGGCGCGGGTTCGCCCCGCCCCGCCACGCCACTGCAGGCCGATTCCGACAGTCCGCTCTGTCTCTCTCGCACTCATGGGGCGGAGGCACGAGAGAGCGACGAGAGCGACTCTATAGGAATCAGTCTGCCGAAGGGAGTCACTGTGGCAAAAAGGTACGGAAAATTCTGTTAATTTTTTTGCCAGGATTCTCCGTAGCCCTCTTATCAATATTCTCCGTAGGCTCTTACAGAATTCTCCGTAGGGCCGTACAGTATTCTCTGTAAGTCCGCACAGTCTTCTCCGTAGGACCTGGAAGACTGTATAGTCCTACGGAGATCACTGTGCGGTCCTACGGAGAATACTGTGCGGTCCTACGGAAAATACTGTAAGAGCCTACGGAGAATATTGATAAGGGGGCTACGGAGAATTCCCACAAGCTGCTTACAGAACTTTCCGTAGGTTTTTGCCACAGTGGTGAGAGTCGTTTCCGTCGCGCTGTCTCTCTCGCTCTGTCGGGGCGCCCCACAGGTGCGAGAGAGACAGAGGGAGTGGCACAGAGTGGGAGCGGGGGCACCTGCTCATCCCCTTATCGGCCGCGGAGCCGCGCCACTGCAAGGCTGGCTGGCAGCGCCACGCTCCCTTCAATCGCGGACTAATTATGGGCCAGCAAATTGCTCAATACTATTTTCCATTCGTTGCCGCCTTCCCGTCCGCCTGCAGCGTTCCTCTGTCTCTCTCGCACTCGCGGGGCGTCCCGCGTGGGTGCGAGAGAGACAGAGCGAATGGCTCCCCCCTGCAGGCCGAGCCGAGACAGACAAAGACAGACTGGAGGCGCGATGCGACAGTGCGCCAGACAAAGACGCACTACCGCGGCTTATCGCGCGGCCTCAGAGGTCCGCCACGGCACTGTCGGGAAGGCGAGGCGGGTTCAAATACCGCTACTCAGGGTCGCTAAAGGGGACTCGAACCGAACGTGTGACCCCACCAATGGATTCCTCGTTCGGAGAGCAATCCATTGGTGGGGTCACACGTTCGGTTCGAGTCCTGCTTAGCGACTCTGGAGCTCAAAACGCGTCCGGGATTTCGACCGCCTCCGCCGGTCCTCTGGTCCACTGTGCGTGCCCTTCGCTAAACACAGGCTGGCAACGCCACGCCGCTACACTGCCACGCTCAAGGCCGCGCCGAGATGCCATCGGATCGGACTGCCCTGCTCGCCTGGCTCGCCTGGCCGCTTCGGCTCGATGACAGCTCGGCCGCTTGTCTGGCCCGTATCTAGGATTCGGGCTTTGGCCGCCCCGCCGTGGCCCCGCCGAGGCCCTGCCGCGCCAACGCCGGGAAGGGGATGTGTGACCACTTGACGTGGGGCGGGGCGGGGCGGGGCGGGGCGGGGCGGGGCGGGGCGGGGCGGGGCGGGGTGGGGCGGGGCGGGGCGGGGCGGGGCGGGGGCCGCGGAAAGGGCTGGTCATGACTTGGCTTGGTCAGCAAGAGCCGCCGGCGCCGCTATCGTAAATTGCCTTGCTTATTTGCCGGCCCCACTACCTCGCGTCTGTCTGTCTGTCTGTCTGTCTGTCTGTCTGTCTGTCTGTCTGTCTGTCTGTCTGTCTGTCTGCCTGCCTGTCTGTCTGTCTGTCTGTCTGTCTGTCTGTCTGTCTGTCTGTCTGTCCGTCTGTCTGTCCATCCATCCGTCCGACTGTTTGCATGAAGCAGAAAAATATGGGCGAGCAAAGCCGGTAAGATGAAACTGTTTGAACTCGGACGGCGGACAGGGGCGGGGGCGCCTTGACCGGGAAGACCATGACGGCCACGGTGACGTGGATGACGGAAAAATGCAGAGCGAGAGAGAGGGAGGAGGGAGGGAGGGGGAGGAGAGAGCGGAGGGAAGGAAAAAAGAGAGAGGCTTAGGCGGGGCTCAAGGAACTGGGCGAGAAAACGCTTTGATTGGAGGATAATAAGCAGCTTAACGACTAAACATAAAAGGAGGAAGTTAAAAGTAAATTAGAGAGGACGAAGACGGAAGTGGCGCCGAATCCCGCTTTATATACGAATTACGTGGCGCCGCGTCGCGCTGTGTCAGCGCCTTCCGGATTCTTTTTGTTTATATCGAGGCGGTGCCTCAGTCCGTCAGTGGCCAGGAGGGTTATCAGCGAAGGCTTTGGCAGAGGTGCCGGTGAAAGGAGACTCCTGACGGAAAAATGAGGCCGAAATTCGTTTCCTGGCCTTACACTTTTGCGCACTAACTGTCGTCCTTTGCTCGCTGACGGCCCAAATTCGATCGGCACTAAAATCTATCGATGATTTGGAACGAAATAAACTTCATAAACACCCCAATTTCGTAAAAAAAGAAACAACGAAAAATATTTAATTTAATTCAAAATAACATTGTTTCTAACTTAAGGCTGAAACACGGCCCGTCCCGCCATAAACAGCCCCCGCGAGTTTAAGTAAAAATATAAATTAGCCCAGCCATTAATTGGCGCTGCGAAGCGAAGCCTTTGTCCGTAATTAGTGCAGCTACTTGCGGATCATTTACAACCGAAACGTAAGTTGCTGCCGATCTTTCATATAAATTCAATGCAGCGCCGCAACAAATCAAAGCGGAGAGCAAGGAAAGGAAAAGGAAGTTTGTGTTCGCCGGAGGGCCGGAGGGGTCCGGCCCGGTCGCTGATTAATGTATTATTCCCAGGTTTCCCTTTAATTAAAACACCCTGGGATAACGTAGTGTTGGCGGCGCGGCACTCGCGCCAATGCAGTGTGGCTTCACCTGCATCCCTGCACCCCTGCAACAGGGCGGGTCGCACAGTGGGCCAGAAGACCGGCGGAGGCGGCCAAAACTCTAGACGCGTTTTGAGCTCCAGAGTCGCTGAATGGGACTCAAACCGAACGTGTGACCCCACCAATGGGTTGCTCTCCGAACGAGGAATCCATTGGTGGAGTCACACGTTCGGTTCGAGTCCCGTTTTGCGACTCTGGAGCTCAAAACGCGTCTAGAGTTTTGGCCGGCTCCACCGGTCTTCTGGTCCACTGTGGGTTGCGAAACAACGCAGGTCCTGTTGACCTTGGAACCGCTCCACTGTGATTTGAGTCACCGCCTTGCAGATCCCCAAAAAGTGTTTTAAAGGTGAGAAGGGGAAGCAGGGGAGATGCGCTGCGAAAAACAGAGCGGCCCGTCTGAAGGGCTGTGACGCCGAGGACCGAGGACGCACTCCAGGACAAGTAAGTTTGCTTGGCAGGAGGGGTGGCAATCAAAAAAATAATGAAGGGACTTCGGTAGTGCTCGCAGTGCGAGAGAGACAGGGCG